ACTGTCGCCCTCCAGCTATCAACCCGCGAAGGATTCGAGGTCAAGGTATCAGAGGCCTTGCACAAGGTAAATCATCTGTGGTGTGCTATTCTGGAGTGTTGCTAACATGCCGATAGGGAAAACCAATCATTGCGACCCTCGCTGGAGGCATTCCACTTCAAGTCGAAGACGGTAAGAGCGGTTACCTTGTCCAACGTGGCGACCACGACGCCGTTGCGAAGCATCTATACAATCTGGTCAATGACAGGGAACTGTATGGTCGCATGAGCGAGTACGCGCGGACACATGTCAGTGACGAAGTGCACACGGTTGGAAACGCCCTCAGCTGGATGTACCTCGCTTCAAGCGTTGCGGGCGGAAAGTCATTCCAACCAAACGAGAGATGGATCAACGATTTGGCCCGGGAAGCAGCTGGAGAGCCATACAAAGATGACGAGCCGCAGTTACCACGACACCTCTCCACCTGATGGACGAGTCGATGTTCTGGGGATGGGCGGGCGTTACGGGCGTGCCTTTTAATTTTCCCTTTATCATCTCCTCACTCATTCAACTTTCACGTTCTGAGACAGAATGCAACAATTTCCTCATTTCGCCAACCGGATGGTAGGTGGAGGCAAATACATTGGGCTTTGCAAGTCCCTCTGAGAGAACAAGAGCAAGAATAGAGAGCACAAGAGAAAGAAGAGCAAGATCTAGAGAAGACAAGAGATTAAGAGAAAGAGATAGAGCGGACAACGAGGCCTGGGAGCATTGGTAGGCTTCTCGATACACGGCGCAGTTCAAGCCTGCTGGGACCTGATACATCCGAGTCGAATGGCGATCGACGGGGCCACAATGATCTCGTTGTGGTGACATACTCAGATTATGGGCCAATGATACACTCATGTACAAACACGTGGTAGAAATTATATAGGATGAGTAACTGCTCGGCAATCCCGCTCTGCAGCCTTTGCTAGTTGTGGACATGTACTGGTACTTACTTGTCCACAAGTCAATTCTTTCTTCCGGTTCAGCCGGCCCATTGATCAATGTTCGAATGTTCCGCGTCTCTCACCAGATGTTAAACTTGCCCCGCGTTTCCTCTGTTTTTTTTAGTTCTGTTCCTCCCGCACTGAAACCACCCCTTCGTTTGCGAAAGACGGTACGCTACGATTACCGACTAAATCTTAGAATTATAGCCTATATTCCCGTCCAGCCAGCGGCAACAATGTATCGCAAGCGCAACGGATCTCTTGGCTTCTCCTTCACGCGCTTCGCCCATGCCGCCGTCCCTAATTTCTTCGCCGATGAGACCCCTACCCGCATAGGTGACCTGACGGGCTACCGTCGGGACATGTGCTACATGCACCAGATCGCCTCTGCGAACCCCTACGTACTTGATGAGCGATCCTTTTACGTCGCCGGCGTCGTCGACTCAGAGAGCGTGAGCAAGAAAGTCTACGCCAAGCTGAAAAAGAACGAGATCTTGATGGAGGACGGACTGGTGGACACGCACAGGATCGGGCCCAAGTTCCCTCACCAGCTGGCCCTGTTGAATATCTATAGGCAGAAGGAGCTGGTCGGGATGCTGTTCTGGTGGGAGGAAGAGTGCCAGCGTCTGCGCAAGTTGGACGGCGAGGAGAAGGAGCTCGACGGCCTGATTTCCGAGTCGGAGGTGAAGTTGACCACCACGGACGAAGATGGCGCAGAGAGACAGGCCGTGAAGCAGACTCTAGACCAGCTGAAGTTCGCGAGGGAGCGGGTCAGGATGAAGCGGAGACAGAGACCCAGTCAGCGAGATCCAGATGTCGAGGCGGACAAGGACGATATCATGATGGCCTTTCACGGACGGAGCAAGAGTGTCCCGAACGTTGGTGTCGGCGGGGTGGTCGCTGGTCCGGTCGCGCCGATACAACAGGGGCAACCACCGCAGTATTTTCCTGGTTCTTGAAGAAATCTTCAGGATGTCGATTAATGACGCCGTTCGACCTTGGCACGCACGCCGTCTCCACCTGGGACGAAGAGTACGGAAAATCGAAACGTGGTCCGCACTTCCCAATCGGTTGTAACAGCGACCTTTGTCCCGACAGATCCGAGAGGCTGAAGGAGTTCCCTGGCCCAAATGAGTCATGTATCCCTGATCCCTGGCGACATTAGTATGGTTGTGCTCTGTCTGACGATAATAACAAGCCGCGGCACGAATATTGTGGTTCGATGCTTGTGGTGATGCTCGGAAGGAGATGGGGTGGTCTCGCTTCAGAGTCAGGCGGAAGTCGTTGTCTCCTAGATCGATCAGAGAGCAGAAGATGCTCCTCCTGCAAACCTCGCATTTCACCCGGTCAGCGATTTCCACATGCGAGGCTGTATGAGGCTCTTCAGTTCTCTGATTGACTCCGTCGCTCAGGCTTCCAAGGGGGCAAAAGAACGTCCGCAGTGAACAACTCTCCGCGCGAAGAAGCCTCGTGATGGCACTCATCATGTGAGTCGACGGGACCTGAAGCGACACATACCAGGGCTTCGATGCCAACAAAGGCATGCAATGCAGCTGGCAGTCTCTCAATGCCTGCAGTGAAACTGAGTCTCGATGCAGCTCCGAGACCGAGTCCTGGTACACACGCTCCGACAGCCGGGCATGCTTTAAGCGCAAGCAGCGTCTGTCAAGCCGCCACTCTTCCTCTCGATCTACTTCCCTTTACAGGACTATTTATCCAGTCCACAATGCGAATTAGTTCTTCTCGGAACATGGAAGAAGTCTCACGGCCCAAGCCAGATTGAAGATAAGACTGATTACAGTTTTGTAGAGAAGACACAGCATATTCCGGGCATGTTCGGACCACCAATGGAGATTCTATCCTCGAATCAATGAATTTTATTGACGACCAGCTAATCACTGCAACACCTCGCCCTTGCTTGCTCAATCTGATCTAAAGATACCTCTCTTAGGGCGGCAACTTCGTGGTGGGATTCAGATACGGTCCGAGGTAGATATGGTCATCGGCCCAGTCCATCAGCTTGTCCCAATCGCCACAGACGTGGGTGTTGTTCGCACTGAAGGGGCCCAGGATGCCCTCGAAGCGCCGCTCCAGCGTCGGGTCCGCGTAGCACATGACCGACTGTCGCAGGTACTCGGTGCAGTGGAACATGTGGTCGGCGGTCAACTCGTCGGGCACGATGCCTCGGACCGAGTAGTCAACAGCCCACTGGAGGAGCCACTGTCAAACAATCAAGGTTAGCAAACATGATGATACAACCAACAAAGGTGTGCTAGGAAAGCATCGGCGGATTAACGGGACAAGACATACCACGCAGTGCAGTTGATGGTATCCGGCAACACCGTAAAACTCGCCGGGCATGCTGTCGAATGCCACCCGCCCGTGACGTGCTCGATGCAGGATCTCGTGCCACGCCGGGTAGGCTTTTTCCTTGGACCCCATGAACGACTCGTTGCGCTGGAAGAGGACCGTCTTTTTCGTGACTGGAAAGATTCGAAAAGGTTAGCGGGGCCAACACCATATAACGAGCACACTGCAAGTTACTGGACGTATCGAGGAGGAAAGAGGAAAGCGGGTGGTGGAGTCTCGACAAAAACAAGAAACGCAAACAAACATACATTCAGGTCCCAGGATCGGAGGCATCACGCCTGGCGTGTGGATGACTTCAGCCTTGGCCTCGGGGACATGGCGAAAGACGTCCTTGGGCGTGACGCTGAGCTTGACCACGGCGATGGTCAGCGCGGCGCATAGGATCGAGAGCGCGCCGATACACCCTAGCAGCAGTCGCTGGGTCCTGTGGGCGCGGTGGTCGCGCATCAGGTAGCCGCCGCTGGCGTCGTCTTCCTCGTCGTCATCGCCGTCCGCGTGCTTGCGCCGCAGGAGGTTCGCCAGGGCCGAGGACGCAGGGTGGAGGGTGTGGTGCCGGCGCGGCTTCTCGTTTATGAGAGAAGAGGAATCCAGCGATGAGGGCGATGAGGGCGATGAGGGGGAGAGATGCTGCTTGACGAGCGTGTCGTCGGAAGATCTGGGTGAGTACTCTGACGGTGGCATTGGGGGTGGATAATGAAGTCCCGAACCAACAAAGGGAGGTATAGTTGAAGTAGGTCCAGTCCGTCAGCAGCCGCAAGGTGGGAGAAGCGGGAAGACAGCGACAGAAATATGGGGAGAGGAGAGAGAGGGAGAGAGAAAGAGATGGAGAGAAAAGGCTCGGATAGACGAGGGTATATGTGCTGACACGACGTGGGACGTGGCGGGCTGGGAGCAAGTGGGGGATACGGATTTTGTATACAGACCGCCCAGTTGTCTGACATGGACGACAATAGCACATGGAGCGTGAGGGATATGATTGCGTGGAAGGAATCATCATGAGATCTGCCTCGAGCTGATACGCGCATTTATGGAGCATCCATTCATCTACATGGGAGGGGGTTTCCTCCCTCTCTGTCTCCCACTTCCGGGACCTACGAACATATACAGCCAGCAAATCCCTCCCGCTCGCTACTGTTACCTCCTAATAGTACGTTATTACATTATACTTTACGTTATTAACCCCCTCTAGCCAGCTCGTCAGGCTTTCTACTTCACCGAGCGGATCGATTTCCCACGGTTTGTTCTACGTTATAAGAGGCCTCCCCAGGACTGCTTGACAGGCAAAGTGGGGGGTCTGGGTCAATGGAATGCAATGGATATATCTACCTATCGATCTGCCTATCTAAAGTACCTAGATAGGTAGGTAGGTAGGTATGTAGGTATTGATTGCCAATCGCATGGATCCTTTTTTTCCCCGCCCAATCCACACACACATCCAAAGCACAGAGAGACAGAGGTTGATTCGTTAACATCTGGGGTTCAATGATTGTCCTGTTGCTGTTCCTGTTTTGAGAGCCACAACAAAGTTCCCCTTCGCGTTCGCTGTGTCATCCGTCGTTGTCTCTCTCCGAATACTTCCGTCTCCCCCTCGTCTCTCCTCTCTCAACCATGCGAGCAAAACCGGAGCCAGAGCTCTGTATGAAGGGCCTAGCTCTACCTCTAGCGGCGTTTGGCAGTTGCGTGGTAGATGTCCATTTCCGGAGAGCGCTTTGCCGTCGCGTGGTAAATATCCATCTCCGGGGATCGTTTCGCTGTCGCGTGGTAGATGTCCATCTCTGGTGCTGGGGAGCGCTTAGCGGTAGCATGATAGATGTCCATTTCCGGCTTTGGTGATCGTTTAGCAGTAGCGTGATAGATGTCCATTTCTGGGGAGCGCTTTGCGGTCGCGTGGTAAATGTCCATCTCCGGTGAGCGTTTAGCGGTAGCGTGATAGATATCCATCTCTGGAGAACGCTTAGCAGTGGCATGGTAAATATCCATTTCTGGTGAGCGTTTGGAGCGTTTGGCCGTAGCGTGGTAAATGTCCATCTCGGGAGACCGCTTGGCTGTCGCGTGGTAGATATCCAGCTCAGGAGATCTCTTTGCAGTAGCATGATAGATGTCCATCTCCGGGGATCTCTTTGCAGTAGCATGGTAGATGTCCATCTCGGGAGACCGCTTCGCAGCTCCCGTCAACGCCGCAGTGCGAGCCTCTGACGCCCTCTGTCAGTACCCCATCCACAATCAACGCTCAAAACACTTACTCAAGGCGTCCGGAGCCGGGGCTGTCGGCAAGGCCGAGGCCGATGCTGCAAGCAGCGTCAGGAGGGAGGTGACTTGCAAGAACTTCATGGTTGCTTGATCGAGAATTCAACGAGACTGGTAGGGACTTGGGAGAAGAGAAGGTCCAAAAAATCTCAAGAGGCACGGTGTCGAGGTCCTCGTTTATATACCCCGTCGGCGAGTGCAGTGTCGATTCTTGCAAAGCCTGACCTCTCGGACCATCGGCGATTGTTCGTCATACGGGTGGCCCTGCCACTGTGTAGAACCCATGGTTGATTGACGAGCATTTCCTGTTCTTGTCCTCTGGAAGATTCTCGTGTCCGTGTGGCAAGGTATCATTACACCCCAAGCCCGGGTAAGGGCATTGGCCGTCGCTGGTCATCTTGGTGGATCAACGGAGCTGCGGTGCTTGTGATACCGGTATCAAGGAGGGTCGCATGCGTTATGTACAGAAGCTGACCATGAGCTGGGAACGAGTGGCCACGCATATGCCCTTTGTGATGGAACAGCATTCGTACCTGCTGGTTCGGGCAGGCGTGCAGAATTACCCGGTTCAATCCACGTCGTATACAACATGAACCCATGTCGACAGAGCCTGGCTCTAAATGTGTCTCACCGAGGTCAAAAGGAGCTCCGCGCGCCAATGAACCACTCCATGTCATGCCTCTTGCCTAAATAGAGAGTCAGAATATGGAAAGTACTGAACATATCAGGACTAGACTCACTTGGTCAAGTGCACGGCGTGGAACGGTATTGGCCCAGCTCGGCAATCTAGCAGGTAATGACTTCAGCGACCAAACACTGTTAAGCTCACACAAGCCTTGCCGCTCCACACTCTGTGAGGGGCCACAGGTGGTGCAGATCCCGGTGGACTTGCACAAAAGGGACCACAAATCTTCAGTCGATCACCAAGTTATGGTGACACGGGCTTAGCTGAGCCAGGCTAGCAGCACATATCCAGGAACTCTGGGTGTATGCTTTGCATTAGCTGATGCAACGCAGAAGACGTGTACTCTCGAAGCACCGCTATCGTTGCTCAACCGTCGATGCAGTGCTACCTTCGACTCCATGTCCCCGCGGGAAGAGCCTCAAGGACACAGCTGAGGAGTCTCGAGGTGGCGGTGAGATTGCAGCTTGTCTTGTCGAGGGCCGATGGACTGCCTTACCGTTCAATGGTTATGTAGGGGGCCTTGTCATGTGTTTCTCAATCATCAAGCATTCCATTGTACCATGCACAGCTGTGCATCTCCACAGGAAGGATTGTGGGGAACTTCTCTTGAGACTGAAGCTGTTGGGGTTGATTGGGAGAAGAACTTGTGGATCGAGACAGCAATGCCAAATCAAGGGAATGAGCGGCGAGTAAAGGCATGGATTGGTGGGAAAGTCGCTTACAGTTAGGAGTCAGCATCTCCCCTAGACCATTGACTTGTTCTGTGTATCTGTGTCCCTTGTCCTTGCAGGCAAATAAGTCACAGCTGCTTTATGCGAGACCTTAAACTCTTATAGGAAGGTGAGATTGGAATAGATGAGGCACGTCCCGGTGACATCTCCCGAAGCCCATGTCCACCAGCTACGGACGGAGGAGAGCGATACGATATGGCGGTTGCGGCCCCAAGGGGGCAAAGGGCACGCGAGCAGCTGACGAAACCAAGTGGGTTCGAGGATCCACTATTTAAAGGTTCTTTGGACCGACCATCATCCTTCGACTGTCGAGACACGGACCTTTCATTGGAAGCGTCAGGATCCATCTCCATCTCGTACCACCTTGCTATCTCGCACCTCAAACCTCGTCGGATTCTCAGCTTGATGCTTGCAGATCGCCCTCTGAAAGCATCGACCACGCATGAAATGTGCATGGAGGGCCTGACCCATACCTTGATACAACCGATGTTTTGGGGCTGATATGATCCTAACATGGCGAGGATGTACACAGCTGACCTGTTGTCACATACACACCGACAACATACGACATACGGCATGCTCCTCGGTGGAGTTGGGACGCCATAAAGCAACGACGCATGGACCCGACCCATCAGGTTTGACTCGCATACATATGGACTCTTCACCCAATATCAGTTTTGCCGCCATTACCTCAGAGACATGGTCATCTCCAGCCTGAATCGACGATGGACAGACAGGGGGAGGATCGTGCTCTACCTCCTCCTTGCCATTGTCCTCCTGAGCTTGATTTGCTGCTGTTCGGGAGGGCCCACGTCTCCTCGGTGCTGGCTCGACTACTCCCAGGTTCCTTACACAATACTCCCACGGAGCCTGGAGTCTGACTACGGGGCACCTGTGAGAGAACTGGGCACTGGCTCATCGGGTTCTGTTCTTTTGCTCCTGCGTCACGCGGACAATGCTACGGTGGCGGTCAAGCGATTCCACAACGCGGCCGCAGATCGACCTGACCTGTTGACCCAAAGAGTAAAGCTCGAGTATCACCTGGGATCCCTCGTCAATGGCCATCCTGGCATCTCCGAGAGCATTGAGCTGCTGTGGGAGACGCGTTCGTCGACATGGTTTCTGGTGACCGAGTTCTGCCCGCGGAGTCTGGCCAAGGAACGTCGTTCGACCAGTCCGCGGTCTCTGACAAAATTGTTCCGGGACATCGTTCAGGCCGTCGAGCGTGTACACGCTCTGGATATGGCGCATGGGGACCTCAAGCTGGAGAATGTCCTCTTGACGGCGGACGGGAGGCCCAAACTGATCGACTTTGGCGCCGCCACTTTCTCCCGCTGTCCCACGGAATCTTCCGACGCAGCAGACTGGGTCAACGTCGTGCCCGGAGACTATGGCACCACGGCTTACATGCCTCCCGACGTCTTCACCCAGCTCGAGTTCGACAAGGCAAAAGCCGACGTGTGGGCCCTCGGCGTTCTATTCTACGCCATGATTACGGGATCGGTTCCGTGGTCGTCGGCCTCGATCGACGACCCGGGCTACCAGGCCTATGTGACACCACAGAGGTCAGATGACAGGCTCAAAGACCATTGCCCCGATTGGGACGCATGCACGATGCGGCTTCCCACCTGTTCCATCGGCGCGTTTCATCTGCTGCAGAGACTGCCGCCCAACACGAGGGACGTGATTGCCTCGATGTTGGCGCCAGAGCCACAAGAGCGACCTCGTCTCCGAACAGCGTTGGAGTCTATGTCGTCCTGGTGAGCAAAGCCACGTTGAATAAATACTACAGTGGCGAAACCCGGACTCTAGACCACGACGCCGCCACAAAAAACAATGGACTCAGAGTGAGGCCGACAGGGACAGGGAGTCGTAATATAACCCAGTCTTGCCAGTCTCTATAAACGAAAAGTCTAATTGGTTCGAGCAAGGAGCAACGACCAGAAAAGAGTCAAGCTCAGGCTGCGAAGGAACGAAGGAATTGCTTATGGAAGCAAATCCTTGGAGGAGGTCGAGACCGGATGGTACTTTACCCGCCCACATACTCACACATCCATACGGCCGTACTTTGTCAATGTTGTAGTTATGTCAGACGCAGAATAAAGAGGCGGTCTGAGGCGGCCTGACTGCTTGAACTGTGTATAATAAATGTTGTGTCGTTTCCTCTTTTTTTTCCGTCTGTCTGTCTGCCTTCCTGTCTACCTGCCTGACTATATATATCAATAACCCTTTCTCCTGCCCTGACTGGTTCATTGACTGACTGACTGACTGAACGAGTGATTTACCACGTGTCCGTCCCCGCAAGCATCTAGACCGACCGCTGTTAACAAACAGGCGTTTGCCAATCCTTTCCCAGAAGTTCGCGGGGGAAAAGGGAAGAAGGGGGGGGGGGTTCAAGTACGGATCCGTCTCGGGTGGTCGGGATGCGTTTGAGGAAAAACCGTATATGATTAAATCTTTCTTGTCCAACACCGGTCAAAAATTAGGTCTTGTTTGGGGGTTGACCAAACAGCGACAATTTAAATCACGGTGATGAACAAACAACCATAGCATGGCGGACAGATACCCCTGATAGATCGAGTCTCGCCCCTTGGTACGGATTTGATATCATTTCTTCTGATAGAGGATAGAGCCACCTTAGAATATGCTGTACGCAGACGGCAGACGGCAGACAAAATATAGGGACGCGCCGGGGCCTCCACTCCTTGTAAGACTTCTCCTGCTCACTTGGCGAGGGATCAATACCAGGCTCGCGAAACCAGTTCAGGGGCTGTGCCTCAGTAAAACTCAATGGCCCATCATGTATCCAGGTTTCATCTAGCACTATCCAGCATTTATACCGGCGACAGCGAGGTGTCATATATACGGCTTCCTCATTGCAGGCTATGGTTATGGCGATCAGGAATCAAGAACGTCCAGGGATGCCTGCCTGCCTGCCTGCTCATGCTTGTTTCGCTCTCATCCAGCAGAGAGACAGGTAGGCAACGCCAAAAAAGGGAATATTATGAACCTGCTCGCCGTGGTGGGTGGGAGATATTACCCACAAAGGAAGAGTTAATGACGGTCATTACTTGTTGTTGTATCCTCCGAGGTCTTTTGACGCCCTTAGCCCCCTTTTTACCCTTCTCCACTGGACTTCACGTGGATGGATCGAGATATAATCTCACAACTGGCAACGTGCCCCTTCGTAAGCGATGGGAAAGTAATGTGCAGTATAGTTCCCGTCTTGCCTGACCTCGGAACTCTCCCGCGTAAGCGACCACGATTCCGCCGCCCCCCGTCCCGTCAGCCCTGGAACACTTTCTCCACAGCCTCCCAATCCATGGCTTGTTGTTGCTTGAATTTCTCAACCTCGGTCTCTCCTTCGCGCTCGGTGGTCGGGTGTACCGTGCAGCCACCTTCGAGCACCAACCAAGCGTCGGCGTCTTCGAGGCCGGCTGCCTCCGTGTGCCCAAAGGAGATGTTGTCCCAGTTCACGTTAGCAAGGTAGACCGTGTGTTGATTGATAAAGAACCACGGATTGAGATCGTCGGATCGACCCCCCTTCGTGATATGATGTGCGTGGAGGTGTTCGACCGCTGTGGCGATCTGTCCCCGCCACTTTTCGGCATGACTCGAAAGGCTGAATGGGTGATCCTGGTTGCTGGACATCTTCATAACTTCTGCCA